GAGAATTTTGATAGCTTTAACTTAAATAAATACACGTTTGTTTATGATGTTGCTAAGTTCTCCTGCTGTTTTGGCTGAAATAGTGGATTCTATAAGTTGCTTGATCTATGACATCTGCAGGGTCCAGTAAGTCCAAAATCTGCCAGGATGTACAACAGCGTGCTCTTTAAAACAATTTTTTTAGGCCAGGTGTGGTGGCTTATACCTGTAATCCTAGCACTCTGGAAGGCCAAGGTAGGTGGATTGCTTGAGCTCACATATAGGCAGGTAAGCTGAGGCATCGAGTGGTTAAGTGACTTGCTCATAATCTTAAAACTAGTTAGAGACAGTTAGCATTTGAACCCAAGCAGTCTGGCTTCCAAACCTGAACTTTTAACCAATAAGGTATTTTCCTGCCATCCTTGAGCAAACCCACTTATCTTTTTCCTTGCCCAGAGAAGCAATGTGACTATACTTTGCAGTGAGTAAGGCCTTGTGCACTGGGGTGTGGTAGTTCAGCCCAGGAACCGTAAGCTGGACTGCTGGCTTTCAGCCCCCGGTTCCATGACTCACTCACTGGGGCAGGCTGCTGTGTTTCTTTATGTGCTAGTGTCCTCCGCTATAAATAGGGTTGATAGCAGTTCTTACCTCTCATTGGGTGGCTGGGAGATTAACTTAGTTAATATACGTGAAGCATTTGGGCCAGTGCCCGGCACACAGTAGAGCTCAAGACATATTTGTCGTTAGTATTTTGTGAGGATTCAGATAGAAGTTCACTTGGCAATAGATTTAGTATTTAACAATCAGGTAACAAAAGACTCAGAGTCCGTCTTTTTGGCAGTTTACTTGTTCTTTCTTCTCCTTGGTTGTAAGCATGATTGCAGAGGAACCGCACAGTCCCCTTGTTGGATAGTACGTTCTTCATTGTCATCAAGATCCCTGTTTGGATCATTTCCACATTAGTAACTGAATTCTAATTAATTAATTAATTTTTTGAGACAGAGTCTCACTTTGTCACCCTTGGTAGAGTGCTGTGGTGTCACAGCTCACAGCAACCTCAAACTCTTGGGCTCAAGCGATCCCCTTGCCTCCGCCTCCTGAGTAGCTGGGACTACAGACGCCCACCATAATGCCTGGCTGAATTCTAATTTAGAATGCAT